CACAGTTTTATAAAATTAACATTAACACAGTTATGAATAGTGTGTGATTCCTAATTGCCGGAGCTCACTGGCAGAGTTGAACAGTGCTTGAGTGGGGAGTGAAGATTGAAAGAAAAATTAATAAACCAACACACTACACAGGGGCTCTGTTCCAGAAGGCAGCCAGTAGAACTGTAACACACCGGTTTATTCTAATAATCCCCTTTTATAGAGCAAAGCTCCTTGATGCAATGAAGGGGTTCATACAGAAGGCAAACCTGTGTACCTCAACCACCTGTCTATGTGATCCTCACACAAACAAGAGGAAATGAACTTGGCAAAAAACATCCTGCCTATCCCTGTCTCCAGGGGAAGGCCAGGCTGAAAACATGTTTTTGACAAACAAGCAGCTCTCCACACCTAATTTCTTCACTTCTGTTGAATGCAAAAATATGAAATGACTCCTAATGGAATTATATGGAAGAAATTATAGACAAAGAATTGAGGGCAATGAATCTAACCATGGTCAAACATTTCAAAGAAGACAAAGACAAAGAAAGGCATGAAAGAAAGAAGTCAATACAAGACAAAAAATACAGTGAAATTTTAAAGAAAACCAAATTAAAATGATGTAGGAAATGAAAAATTCAAAACAATCAAAAACCTCAGTGGAAAGTGTTATCAATAGAATGTGTCATATAAAAAAACAGAGCCAGGAATGGATTGTTCAGTAAAGGTCAATAAGAAATTTTAAGACACACACACACACACACACACGAAAGAATTATAGATACTTATCAAGGCAGGACTATGAGAATAACACCTGATTATTCAACCTTTAAAGCCAGAAGGGCCCAGAAATATATAGTCCAAGTCCTAAAAGACCACAACTGTGAACTCGGGAAAACTATCCATTAAAACTTAAGATAAAATAAAACTTTACAAGATAAAAACAGACTAGAAAAAGTTATGACTATAAAGCCAACTCCACAGAAGATAATGGAAGGAATATTTCAGTCTGGAGATAAACAGACTCAAGAGGTTACAGAGAACAACAACAAAAATATGTCAGGGCAAGTAATCGAAAGATTGGGGAAAATGAAACAAAATCAACAAAATGACAGGAATCAATACACTTTTTCAATAATAACTCTGAATGTTTATGGTCTCAATATGTGGACCAACAGCTTCGATTAGAAAACAAAGATCGGGCTGGAGAGATGGCTCAGAGGTTAAGAGCACTGTCTGCTCTTCCAGAGGTCCTGAGTTCAATTCCCGGCAACCACATGGTGGCTCACAACCATCTGGAATGAGATCTGGTGCCCTCTTCTGGCGTGCACAGTGTACATGAAGATACAACACTCATATACAAATAAATAAATAAATCTTAAAAAAAAAGAAAAGAAAAAGAAAACAAAGATCAACCTATCAAAGGCAGAACCCTTATTACATCAAAAGGATGAAAAAAGGGTATTTCAAGCAGATGGACCTAAGAAACAGGAAGACAAAATAGACTTCAAGCCAAACCTAATCAGAAGAAGTAAAGAGTACTTTGTACTCATTAAAGGAAAAAAAAAATCAACCAACAGATATTACAGCTCTATATATCCCCAAACAGAAACACTATCAGATCTAAAATCATAGATGATCCCACAAAGTGATTATGGGTGATTTCAATACCCTATTCTCACCAGCTAAAAGGTCACCCAGGAAAAAACACTGAATAGAGAAACCCTGGAATTAAATAACACCCTAAACCAAATGGACCTAAGAGACATCTACAGAACATTCTACCTCAACACTAAAGCATACACATTTTTCCTCAAAATCAACCACATATTAGGGCACAAAGCAAGACTCAATAAACATAGGAAAACAGAAATCACACCACACTTTCTGTCCATGATGGAAGCAAGCTGGATGTCAACAGCAATAAAAACTAGAGAAAGTATTCAGGGAAACTAAGCCACGCAGCATTAAATGGAAATTGGGTCAAAGAAGAAATCAAGAAGGAAATTTAAAATTCCTAGAATTGAATGAAAACAAAAACCACAACATACCAAAATCTAAGAGACATGATGAAAGCAATCCTGAGAGGAAAGTTTATACTGTTAAGTGCCTACATCAAAAAAATTTGAAAGATCTCAAATTAATAAATGATGAATTGGAAGTCCTCAGGAAAAGAAGATCAAACAACACCCCCAAAATAGATGGGAAGAGATAATACAAAATCAATAAAACAAAAATAAAGAAAAAACACAATCAATGAAACAGAGTTGGTTTGCTGAAAAGATTAACAGGATTGACAAGTCTTTAGCCAAATTACCCAAAAGTAAAAGAGGACTAAATTCACAAAAATTACAGATAAAAGGGAGGCATAACAAGAGACACTGAGGAAATGCAGAGGATCATGAGGACATATATTTATATTCCACCAAACTGGAAAATCCAAAGGAAATAGATGGATTTTATATGGCATCACAAAAAACCCAGGAGAGTAGGCAAAGCACTGATACACATAAACAATTTTTAAAATTTTTAAAAATAAAAATGATATTTAGAGACAAATGGGTGGAGCTGGAAAGAATTCATTCGGAATGAGGTAGCCCAGACCTAGAAAATCAAACACCATACGTTTTCTTTTATTTGTGGATGTTAACCTTGAATTTGTTAATGCTAGCCTTGTTTGATAAAATAAAATTTAAAAAAAGAAGAGCATGTGACGTAGGTTGGTACAGATGTGGCAGGAGAGAGGAGGACACGTGGAGGAGAAATGAGAGCCAGTGGGCCTGAATAAATATAGCAAATAGAAAAGAGCAAGGAATGTCACGGTCTTAACCTGAGGGGACTCCACGCCTTATCACAACAGTGAAGGAGATTCAGCTGTCAAGGGCAGTTCCAACAGTGTCACATGCACCTCATTTGGATTTCCCATCAGTTGCTAGGTCTGTGGTTTTACAAGCCGCTGAAGGGCTGGAAGAGCTGGAAGGGACAGGGAAGGGTGTTGCATTCGGAGCCAGGGAAGAGCTGGAAGGGAGGAACTACCCAGAGACGGACCTTGTCTAGGTGTGAGGTTTAGATTTCTCGATTTACTGTAATTTGAGACTGATTTGTTTTAGAATGTCCCCTTAGCATTTAACGTAGGTTTGGTGGTTAGGAGCGCAGGTGCCGGGGTCCAGGACACTCTGTGCATGGCATCTCTGCCTGCTGTGTGCCTTTGCTCAGCAGCATCTCAGTTCCTTGAGGCAGAAAACAGTCCTGCATAGTGAAAACAAAACTTAAAACAAATTCAAGGCCTACCCCTCTGTTGGCCTGTTTTGCTTCCAGACAAAAGCCATTCCCAGAGGACACTTCATCTGTATTAATGTCATTAGCATTCATAGATGTTTCTCGTCTGGTAAGTGTGTTGTGTTGGACAGCGTAAGAAGTCTAAAAACATTCAGAGGAATGGGAAGAAGTTTATCTGTATGGGGTACCTTTCACACGTTTCCATTTTTCCCCACTACCATAAATGTAAAATGTATCATTGCTTTTTGAATGGTTGTTGTTACAATCCATTTAATTGGTTTAGATTTTTTTATGTGACTATTACAAACATTAAATTTAGACTTAGAATATATCTGATATGAAAGCCGGGGCCAGGCCATCAGGGGAAGGAAGTAGACCTACAGTTTAAGACATTTTATACTTTTGTCCCACATTTTATTTGTATCGGACACTGGAGTTTTCGGGAAGCGCTGCCCATTTCAAAGCTCAGGCTTTCTCCCCAGAAGATCGGAGTTGGAAAATGTGCAGGGGATTTATAAACATTGAGGCGTTCTTCTCATTTGTGAATAAGATATATCTATAAATAACTCAATAGACGATATAGCTGAGGGACTGGGAGCTAGACAGATCCCTGACAGGCAGACTGACAGAAAAGGGGGCCCAAATGAATAACAAAGATGGCAAACTTCAGGCTTCTTCCTCACCCCGGAAGCGCACTACCGCCGCAGTGACCCACTTTTGGATGACTGGTCTAAGCTGGTCAGATAGGCTCAAGGCTATATAGCTGTGGGCCTATCAGATACTCTTCTTTGTCTAAACTGACCAATCCTAAATTAGGAAAGGAAACACCAACAAAACAAAACCGGTCCTTTTTCTGCTTTGCAGATGGCGCTGGTCTGTGTGTGCCCGGCTATATGCTTGCGTTTCCTTCCTTCCTTCCTTCCTTCCTTTTTTCTTTCTTTCTTCCTTCCTTCCTCCCTCCCTCCCTCCCTCCCTCCCTCCCTCCCTCCCTCCCTCCCTTCCTTCCTTCCTCTCTCTCTCTCTTTCTCTTTCTTTCTTTGTTTTTCAGGACAGGATTTCTCTGTGTATCCCTGGCTGTCGGAACCCTCTCTATAGACCAGGTTTGCATCGAATTCAGAGAATTCTCCTGTCTCTGCCTTCCAGGTGCTGGGGGTTAAAGGCTTGTCCCACAATGCTTCTTCGCTTTTAGTAAAATCCGATATTGTTGCTGTTGCCTGCTGTGTCTGAGATTTTTCCCTGCTGCTACCTGCGGCCCTGGAGATTTCTCCTGTCTGTGGTCTTTTATTGGCAGAGGAGAGGAACCCGATCCAGACCCTGCGACCCTCTCATAGCCTTCCATACAAGGCAAGTGGTCAGTTGGCGTTAGGTTCTCGCACAGGAAGCCCAGCCTTACGATACCTGAGGGTCAAGAAGTTGTCATTCTTTTGTTTTGTTATTTTGTCTTTAGACACAGGGTTTCTCTGCGTAGCCTTGGTTGTCCTGGACTCGCTTCTGTAGACCAGGCTGGCCTCGAACCCACAGGAGACGCACCTGCCTCTGCCAGCGCCAGGCTCGAGGAGGCGTCGCTCTGAAACGGTGGGAATGGAGCCTGCGTGCTCGCTTCGCCCACTCGTGGATTGGAGCCCCTTCCTGTCGCTCAGGGCCCGAGCCGGGTGAGAACCGGCGCCCCGTCCAATCGAAGGCGGCGGGGCGAGCGAGCGGGCGGGCTTCCGCGGCCGCCGGGCCTTTGTCTGGGACGCGCCGCCGGGCCACCATCTTGGCGTCCGGAGCGGGCTCCCGGGTTCCGGGGGCCCAGGCGGTGCCGGCGCGGTCTTGCCCCGCGTAGCGAGGACCCCGCCACGGTGAGCGCCGCGTCCCCGCGGAGCCGGTGCCGGCGGCCGCCGAGTCCCCGAGCCCGGGCCCCCTCCGCCTCCGCGGCCGTGGGGTGGGGGCTGGGCGGGCGCCCACCAGCGGGGCTCGGAGCTGGGGGCGCTTCCCTGCAAGCGGCTGTTCCGAAAGGGCTTCTGTCCGCTGGACAGTGCCAGCCCCAGGCCCCCTGGACCAGCCATTCGATGCCCCGGGGCTTTTCTGGACCCTTGTTGCTGCCCGGCCCCGCCCCACCACCTTCTGCTCTGTCTCCTGCTTTTGTGGCTTGTCTCGGGAATTCGGAACTAGCTCTTCAGTCCCGAATTTCAGACCCCTGTGTTTGGATTTCCACCACCGCTTCCCCTCTAGGCGTTTATTTCCCTGAGTCCGTTCTCTGGGGAATGGGTGGGAATCTGGAAACTCACTCATTCACCGGGTGGCACCCTGCCCCTCCCTCTCTGTGATGGAACCTAAGGAAGTGCTCTGTCAGGAACCCAACCTGTCAAGGCCTCCTGAGCGCTGAGGCGCCACGCTGCTTCCCTGTCCGCTTCCCTGTCCCCTTTTTCTCCCCAGCTGCGTGTCTGTCCCCTGTTGGCATTTTTCTGAAATGCTGAACGTGGATGTGAGGCATGGGCTGGAAAAGGATTGTCGCTGGTGGGGGCCCCCTCCCCAGGCAGATGTAGCCTGGGATGTGGGCTTCCCGAAGCAGCTGTGTGCAGAGGGCTCACCCCGTCCTTTGCCTGTGTGTCCCCTCAGTGTCCTGTTACGGAGAAAGGGGACAGGGCTTTGAGGCCTGGGTTCAGATCTCACCTTCCATGCAGATGTAGTGGGATAGATAGGCCTGTAATCCCAGCTGCTTGGGAGGCTGATCCTTACTTCTGTAAGGATCGTGAGGTTGACACCAGCTAAGGCTATGGACAGAGTCCAAGGCCGTCCTGGGCAACCTAGTTAAGCCCTGTCTTAAGAAAAATTGACAGGGGAACAGTTCAGTGGTAAAGTGTGTGTTGGCAGCTGCAGAGGGCCCTGAATTCTTGCCCCAGTCACCTGTCTGTGCTGCCCTAGAGATGTCAGCACTCTGTTCTTGGGGACTGGGGTAATGTCATCCCCTAACTCTCCCTGTGGTGGACCTACAGCAAGGCCAAAATAGGGAACTCCTCTGGAGAGACCCATGCAGGGAGTGATGGAGGAAATGAGGGCCTGGGAGACGAGGCTGGGGCCTGAGGAACTGACAGAGAAGATGCCTCAGTCTGCGAAAGGGTAGAGGGAAAGGAGGTTGAGGATGAGGCAACTGGAAGGAGATCTGATGATGGAGACCAGTTCTGAGGGAGGACAGAGGTTTGAGCAGATTTGAAGAGTGGGGCCATGGCTGGTGGAAAGACTGAGACCAGAGAGAAAGAAACAATAAGGGGGCATCGGAAAAAGGAAGGAAGGCCTCCCTATGGAGGAAATCCCCCTCTGGACACACCCTCTCCAGAGAACACCTCCCTCCCCTGGAGAATCTACCTCCCCCTGGAGAACCTCCACCGCTGGGGTCTGATGGAAGCCTCTTGTCAGCCGAGAGTCCAGTAAAATGAACGCTTGAGGTTGCCAACACAGTGTTACTTTTGTATAATGATATCTTCATGAAGAATGTCAACATTTTCATGAACTGGTCCCAAAGCCTGAACCTGGATGACCTTGATTTTTTCGCAGATGTAAGCTTGAAGTTTCCTGGGAAATCCTTGTGACACCCTGCTTCCAGAAGGTCCATGGGAGGAACCTTATTCCCTGGAAGCTGGAAACGGTAAGTTTGTGGTCTGGCTTCCAAATCCAGGGGAGGGAAATCTTCATAATTGGATCAGTCTAGGTCCCCATCATCTGCAGCGTGGCTAGGGATACTTTCCCCCAGGGTGTCTTGACTCCCAGCTCTTGGAGCCTTCATATTTGTTTTCTGTAACCTGGTACTTAGATGGCTTTGTATCTTGGCCTGTGACATCAGGTTCCATTCTGTCTTCCAGCTACCCAGAACTAAGTCTGTTTTTGTCCTGAGCTCTGTCTATAGGTTCTGGTGAATTTAGGCAGCTATCACCTGGTCCTAGTCCTCTGGAGGCAACTCGCCCTGGCCTGGCCTGGAGTCAGAGGGCTCCAAGGACTGACCGTGTGTTTGTGCTTCCAGGCCATGGTTTAGGAAGATGCTAGTCCTGCCAGGAACACCGGTGCGCTGTGGCTGTTTGCAGGGGGTGTTTGAATCAGCGGTTTTGTGCTGAAAGCTGGATTGATGTTGGTTCCTTGTCTCTTCTATTTCTGAGTACTGGGCATGGTGGAGGCCGCAGCCATCATGTGGAGTAGCTTAGGACGCTGAACTTAAAGGATTAAAAAAAAAAAAAAAAGTGTATATTTAGAATTAGCCAGCTGGACTCTGTTCAGATGATCCCAATCTTATCGGCAACATCCAGAGCATCATAATCAGGAGCGAACGGAAAATAGGCCTTCGTCTCTCTGTCAGGCCTCCTCAGGGTGTTGACTTTGGCCTCTTCAGTGTCATAGAGTTTCTTCACTGCTTGATCATCCACAATGAACACAGTGTGGTGTTGTCCTCTGTTTTCTCCATGGTGGATTCAGTGGTCAGGGGGACTTTGATAACGGCATAGTGGTCAAGACAGGCTTTAGTGAGGAACCTTCCCCAACAAGGCCACACCCAATCCTCCCGACACAGTTCCACCAGTTCATACTTGGGAGGGAGCGGATGGGAGCCATTCCCATTCAAACCGCCACAGCCGCCTCACGCTTCCTGAGTGTCCCTGCGGGTTATGCCCCCTTCCCACCTGTGTTTGTTCTTTCGTTTTTCTCCAGCTCAGGCTGAGCTCGGGTTTAAGACAGTCCTTCCGGTTCAGCTTGCTACATGGTTGATAGGTATGTGCCACCAACCGCGACTCCCTGTGCCCTTTTCTCTTCCCGTCTCTGTCCGTGTCCTCACCCATAGAGTAAGCCTGAGGACCTGGTCTACAGATCCTGGTCTGATTAACCCAGGATCCCAGCGGCAGCCATCCGATTCCCCCAGTTGCCGTTCCTCAGGAACGGGGAGGAGGTGGGATTTAAACTGATCGTCTGTGGCTCCAGTGTTCTGTCATTAGCCAGCCCCGGATGAGTAGCCAGAGGCTACAGACCAGCTCTGATTTTCAGCCTTTGTCCCTGGGAAGGAATGATTTGGAGGGGGAAAGTGGAAGATGGAGGACTGACGTCATGTCTTGTGAGGACATCTGCTGGATTTGACGGCACAGCCACACTACAGCTCGGCACCGCCGCCTCCAGGAGTCAGAGGGGTTGGAGAGAGACCCCCCCCCCCATTGTAGCAGCCAGGAATGGAGGTAAACCTAGAGAAGAAGCAGGAGCCAGCGGATGCTGCCGACTGGGGAGATCGGGTGTGGAGGTCAGATGGTGCTTGTCTGCAGGCCTCCTGACTATTCATGGTTGGGATGTTCATTCTGGGTCAGTGCTGGCTGGGTTCTGCACAGGCTGCTCTGTAGCCCAGAGGTGAATGCAGGATGCATTCCTGGAGCTGGGCCCATAACTCCTGGCTTATCTTGTCTTGGGGCCTTGGTACCCGATGAGTCCATGGAGCAGGGTAAACTCTGCCCAGGTGGAGCTTGGCTTCCCCTCCAGGGGCTGCATCTGCCCAGGAACATTTTAGATGGCAGGTTCCCTCCCTTAGCCACCAGGAGCCTGGCACCCAGTGTTCCTCCCTGAGCAGTGATCAGCATGGATACAGTACTCGTGTGTGAAGGCTGGCATTGGCCGACAATGGGTAGTTTGAGGGCAGCTCTCAGAAACTTGGGTGTAGGACCTAAGAGGTCCCCAGCAGAGGATGAGAGAGAGCTGGGGAATCATGGTCCTGTAAGCGGAGTACTAGCCAATTGTTTAGGTTGTGCAGGGCATAATGGGCCCTGGCAGGCTGGGGGAGGGGCCTTGGGAGTCCTAGGCTGGCTTAGTCTAAATGGTGAGATTTCATCTCAAAAGAAAAAACAGTCAGTGTTTAAATTCCAGTGTGATCCTAGACGGCTTTCCTAGGTACAGTTTTCTCGCCTGTGCAGTGGCTAAAACTTGTGTCTCATGGGGGTTAAGATGGTCTGTCCACGTGGATCTGGTACGGTGTCCATTTCCCATTGCGGTGCCAGTGGTGGTGGTTCAGGGCTGCAGTCCCAGTGTTTGAGAAGTTGATCCCCAGGATCAGGAGTTCAAGAGCACCTGAAACTCTACAGAGACACCTGTCTCAGTAAAGGCGGGATGGCACTGGGGTGTAGTCACGGGTAGGCCACGTGTGCAGCATGCACAAGACCCTGGGTTGTTCCTTCGCACCACAAAAGAGTCAGAGAACATCAGGTGGCAAGAAGTTCTTAGTACATGGACGAAATGACTTAAACATGGTGGTAGAGAGATGGCTTAGCAGGTAGACATGAGGAGTGCTCTTGAGGACCGGAGCTCAGTTCCTAGCACCGACATTGGGCAGCTCACATCTGCCTGTAACTTCAGCACCAGGCCTCCAGTGCCCCTTTCTGACCCCTGTGGGTTCTCACACTTGTGTGTGTGAGGCAGGGAGAGAGATGGAGAGGGAAAGAGGGAATTAAAATAATGAGTAATTAATGTAGAACTTGGCAGTCGCCTGCACAGCATGCTGTTCCAACTTCCTTTCAGGAAAGGATCAATGGCTGGGTGTGTACAGAGCCAGCTGCCTCCAGTCATGGCTTAGGGGATGTGGCCTCTCAGCTTCCTGTTTGCTGTGTGAGAGGTGAGCCCTCAGCTCTCAGCTTCCACCCCCAGATGCCGTGCTGGCCCGCTGCCCTGCTGCCCTCCAGCGGTGATAGACTCCAGAAGCGCAACCACGTCTTTCTTACAGAAGTTGCGTGGGTTTCGGTGTTAGATGGCAGCAGTAGAAGACTGGCAAAGATGGTTGCCTTCGAAACTGATGATGCCACCTTCCCTCCTGACTCTCAGTTCTCGAAGCCTTTGTTGAAAATCTGCCGACCTGCATATTAGGCGGCTCTTCATCACAGTGACAAAACACCCAGGAGAGACATCTTGAAAGGAGAGAAGGTTGATTTTGGCACGTGGTTTTCAGTGCTGTCAGTCAGCGGTTGCCTGGTTAGTTTAGTTACACTGCAGTAAGGACGAACACCTTGGCAAGACAGTCAGGTAGAGCATAGCTGGCTACCTCAGTGCAGGCAGGAAGCATGTTCGTGTGTGTGTGTGTGTGTGTGTGTGAGAGAGAGAGAGAGAGAGAGAGAGAGAGAGAGAGAGAGAAAGGTGGTTACACTGCATCCCGGAAGTAGGGAGAGGAATGTGGGGGCGGGGTGGTGCTGACCTCCTGGCAGTCCTTCCAGGGCATACCTAAGGGCCTTATTTCCTGACACAGGCCTCTAGGTAAACACAGGTCAGTAGATTATTGACCAAGACTTTTGCACCCGGATTTTGGAGTGCAATCCTGATCCAGAGAATACCCCTGAGTGCACATTTTGAGGTCACTCCTGCCCTCCACCCCACCCCACTCCCACTGTTAGCCCCATGTGAGGACCACACTACACAACTGTAACGTGTATAGAGAGCCTAGAACCTTGAACCTCTGATCCTCCTGCCTCCGCCTCCCCGTTGCTGGGATCACTCACGTGTGCCACTGCACTCAGCTTCACAGGCCCTGGGGAGTGAATGTAGGCTTTCACGCCTAGGCGGAAGTCCGGCTGAGTTACATCTCCAGCCCAGGGGTTTCCTACCGACGCACACATGACTGCAAACATTGGTTTTCAACTTTGTACTCCAACACGAGTAGTTTGGTCCATTCCACCTTTCTTTGAAGTATTTTTTTCTCTTAAAAATTGTATTTCACTTACTTATTTTGGTTGTGTGTACATGGGTTCCAGGGATTGAACTTAGGTCATCAGGCTTGGGGACAGGTGCCATTACCTCCCCGCCCTTTTTTCTCTTTATGAAGGCATTTGGCCTACAAATGAAAGCACTTTTACAGTCTCCTTTTTGATGTGGAGATCCTTCAGTTTTTTGCCCCTGCAGCCCTGGCTGAGCCTTCTCAGCAGTGTATCAAAGAAGGGAGTACAGTTCTAGCCATCTTTGTCTTGTTGCAGATCTTAGAATAACTTGGGGAGTTTGCCATCGGAAAGTTGCAAGCTGTGGTTTCACCGTACTTCACCAACATGTGTGCAGGTGTGAGCTTGTTGTCTGTTTGAGAAAAAAATTTAAGATGTGGTGTTGAAGTTTATAAAATGCCTTTTATGAATCTGTTTTGATCTTCATATATCTTTTTATCATTCACCGTGTGGATTCGGTGTCTCATGCATGTGAACTTTCATTTGGGGAATGTTGTACCCCTGACGTGAATCACATGATCATAGTTAGTCTTTTTTTAAGATAGTGTCTCATATAGCCCAGGCTGTATTCGAACTTGTCATATAGACATGGATGGTGCAGAGCTTCTGATGTCTGCTTCCTGGGTGCTGAGATTGCGGTGTGCACCACTGTGCCCTGTTTATGTCATGTCTTAGTGTTCTGTTGCTGTGAGGAGTCATCATGACCATGGCAGCGAATGTGGCTCCTACAGGTTCAGAGTGTTAGTCCACTCTTATCTTGGCAGGAAGCATGGCAGCAAGTGTGGTAGGCATGGTGCTGGAAAAGGAGCAAAGAATTCTACATCTGGATCTGCAGGCAGCAGGAAGAGAAAGTGGCACGAGCCTGGCTTGAGCTTCTGGAACCCCAGAGCCCATCCCCAGTGACGCACTTCCTCCAACCAGGACACACCTGCTAATAGTGCCACTCCCCAGTGGGGGCCTTTTTATTCCAACCCACCACACGGGATCTTTATGTGCTGTTCCTCTTGATCTTTTGGTTGAGAAATTTTAATGATAACTTTTCTTTGCCGTTCATGTATTTATTGAGGACTTGCGTATGTGTGATGGTTGACATGTTGAGGTCGGAAGACAACTTGTAGGGGTTGGTTCTGTCCACCACACTGGTCCTGGGATTCAACTCGGGTCATCAGATTTGGTGGCAAATGCCTTTCTCCACTAAGCCATCACAACAGCCCTTGTTGGGGGTTTTTGCATGTATGTCCATCTGGTGTCGATCTGTGGTTTGACTGTGAACCGTTGAGCCCATGACTAATTTTATTTATTTATTTACTTATTTATTTTGAGATAAGGCCTTATTCTGAAGCATGGGCTAGCCTGGACCTTATTTGTGTTGCCCAGTCTGATCCTGAACTTGCTTCAGCCTCTAGAGGACTGGGATTACTGACATGTGTCACTAATTTCCCACAGTGTGCCCCCCCCCCCCCCCCCCCCCCCCCCCCCGGGCCCCACTCTGTCTCCTCCTCCCTCTTCAGGCTCTTGGTGGGTAGCCCAGGTTGGCCTCAGACGTGCTAGGACTTCCAGTCGTTGAGCCATGTGGGTATAAATACTGTCTTAGGGAAGTTTCCCACTCACTTGTTACAGTGCAGTCCATGGAGCCTGTCAGTCATCCGTGGGCCTCACCTAGCACCTTAGTAAACCTGATGTATTGTCTCCCATTTGCAGGACACTGCCTGACCAAAGCAGAGTTTATCTTTAAGTGGGAGCTTAGATTCGGCCATGGACCGTAGCAGAAGCTTCAATTCGATGCCTTCCAGGTCAGTCAGTGCACGTGGGGCAAGGGGTATCAGCAGGAAGAGCGCTCATGGGTTGCTAGGCTGGGCTGTTTTTATACCCAAGCTCTTCCCTCAGAGGCTAGTCCTGTGACTCAGGCATGTACTTTACGCAGCTTCTGAAGAGGGTTCTGCAGGTCTTACACCTCGGTGTGTGGCTCAGGGGTGAAGATGCCTACCACCACGCCTGATGACCTGAGACAGATTGTCCTCTGACCTCCTTGGCTGCGTTTGTCTGATTTTTCCCTGAGCACTCCCCCCTTCCCCCGTCTCTCTCTCTCTCAATCCTTGGTTGAAGATCTCTGCAGATATGTCTTTTAATAAATCCCTAGGTCTGCTTCATGCTGCATCCTGGACTCCTCTTTTGTGTATGTCACGATTCCTCGCTTTGAATCCTAGTCTTGTGTGAACAAGGACCCCTGGCTGCTGATGGGGAAGAGGATGGAGCTGTGCCTCTGTCCCTGTCATAGGTGACATCGCCATAGGGGATTGTTCTGGGGTTTGATCTAAGCCTTGTTGGTGAGTTTCCTCACTGGGACTTGCTTGGTGTGCCCTCTTAGGCACAGTGTGCATGTTAACTTGCCTTTTCTGTTTGTGGCTGGAGAGCTGAGAATGAGTGCCGCTGGCAGCAAATCAGAAATGACCTGGTGTCATTCGTACTTCACTCCTGGGTCAGATAGAAGAAAAGGCGACTTTTCTGGGGAACAGCTCTGTGATGTCTGATCCACCAGTGTTCAGGCTATACTAGTTTGCCGTCAAGACTGGCAGCCTGTTATGCGGAAAGCTACCTGTGAAAACAGCACATTCTGTACTCTCTCCACCCTGAAATCTCCCATCTGTCCTTTCTTAGCAGCCACTTTGCAGTGGCATTTTTTTCCTGTCTTCTGTCTAAAGGCACTTGCTGTTGCTCACTGTTGGCACTTGAATTGTTCTTTGTAATGTTTGCAAATGGCCCTGCAGTCGTCAGGGTCACTCTTACTCAACCAACACACGCTGTGCATCCTGTAAGTTTCCAGAATCCAAGACGTACAAGTTTTTTTCTCTCTCTCCACCCTTCCTCTTCATCTCTTCCTCTTGTTTTGTAGTTCTAGGTTTAGAACCCATGTTCCTGCATAAGCTAGACCATCAGTGTATCACTGGGCTTTGTCCTCGGCCGTTATTAGAAGTGACTTTCTGGTTGGTAATTTTTGAAAGAGTGTGTTAGGAAGCATCGGAGTGTAAAATCCTCAGATGCCCTGAGGAAATAACCTCCCATTTTACTGACCCAACGGTGGGTTACCTAATGTGTACGTGTGGGTTGTTTGAAGAAGTTGGATCAAAATTCCTAAATGCATTTTTATAGTAACCTGTCTCCTCAGATATGACACGCACACTCCACGGTCCCCTGTAGAGTGTGTAGCTAGGTGGCTTTCACCATATATACTCGTCATCAAAGTCAGTTTCAGAACGTGTTCTACACCCAACCCAGCAGCGTATCGTAACCGTTTCCAGGCAGTGGACTGCCTCCCCATTTCCTCCTCAGCACCGTAAACGCTCTCCACTTGCTCTCCAGATGCTCTTCCTCTTGTGAACTTTTTATGAAGGGAATTGGATTGTGGGTGGACTTCATGACTGACTCTATTCAGTGGGCATAGGTTTCCCTGGTGACATCGATATTGTTTCAGGTATAGCATTATCGTTCATGGTGGGTAATATTTAATTCCGTGGCATGCCACAGTTTTAATCTATTCAACAGTGAACACATTGCCCTTGTACGTTCCTTTGGACATCATAAATAAATGTTTTATTACTGTTTAAATTAAAGTTTAATGTCAGCATGTAGCTTGTATTTCTCTTGAATCCAAGAATCTAAGATCACCCTGAGCAAGATATGACAACCTTTGATGGTAGAGGAGCTGGAAGAGAGAGAGAACCTAAGCCCCAAAACTGATTATGGTAGTGGCTGGGAAGATGGCTTATCTGTAAAATGGCTGTCACAGAATCAGGAAGACCTGAGCTCAGGTCCCTAGCACCCGTGTCAGAGACAGCAGTGTTAGCACACATCAGTAACCCCAGAAATGGGAAAGGCAGTGATGGGAGGATCCCTGGAGCTTACTGGACAGCCAGTCTAGACAAATCAGTGAACTCCAGGGTAGTAGCAGACCTTGCTTCAAAACATACTTTGGAGAGCAATGCTGGAAGGCGCCCACAGTCAACCTCTGGACGCCATATGCATGTACACTCATATGTCCATACACCTTAGTGCAAGCGTGCACACACCCACGTGAACACACACACACACACACACACACACACACACAGAGGCAAAATGGTCCCGTCACTAATATCACTGACTGTAGTTTTATTGGTTTAGGCTAATGCCAGCAATATACTTGAGTTCACTTCAAAGAATCCAGTACAGGCGAAGCCTGGTGGCCCATACCTACACTTGGGAGGCAAAGGCCAGTGGGTCTCCGAGTTCCAGGCCAGTTGAGACTACAGAGTAAGAACCTGTCTCAAACAATCACCACCGAAAAGGAACCTAACACAGAAACTCCTCACATCACTGATTAGCCAGTGGACAGAAGCCCAAGTCCAGTAACAGTTGTGTCAGTTCACAAGTAGTGTTAGAACTCTTAGGTCTACGGTTCAACCTGTAAGGCTGCCCATAACGTGTAATGCTGGGTTCTTGGTAAAGAACAATAACAAAATTAGAAATCATGTTGTGGGTATTGTGAGTGTATAACAAATTGGCTTAATGGAGAAATAAATATATGTGTGATTTGAATGCCCTAAGAGGAATAATACTTGATCTCATGTGAACACAGTAAAATTGACTCTATATCATGCTCAACTTGAGAAAGTTACAATCTAAAAGTCTCATTGTATTGGAGAAGTTTACCCCTTAAAGGGGCAGACAAAGACAATACTGAGCGAATATAAATTGTTGGAAAGCCATCAAAGTTTTGGTGAAAGCAAGCCAGCAGTTTTTAATAACAGAAAGTAAGTAAGCACGCCTGAGAATATCCAGAGAGAACAAACAATGGGAAGACAGCTGGAACTTACCCGAGGGGACTGGTCACTGCCTTTACCCCCACAGTTCTCTCTGACTGATCCATGGTAACTGTCACACTGTTATGAGCACCGTAATCACTGTGTGTTTGGGGGGTGGGAGGGAGGAAGAGAGTTGGCAGCGTGATCGCTCTGAAATGAGTTACGTTTCAAAATGAAATAAGCCTGTGTTGTTGCCAACTTGGAGTCTGAATGGCTAGCCTGCAGGCCTCCTCAGTGTTTGCTAATTATGGAAGTGCACGCTCTATTGAATCTCAGACTCTTTCCTAAATAAGAAAGCCCGAAGAGGCGATGGGTAATCATCCAATCAAACAGAAAGACACTGATTTTAAAATCTCAGCATTCACCTGACTGTGGGAGGGAGGCATTACCATCGAAGGAACACAGCATTTTCCTAGAGGTTTGGAACTTTTAAATGCTTACACACCTTAATATCTCAGAAGGAGAGCAGACTTTTGTTCTGTCTCAAGGTGAGCCAGGTTAAAGTGGTGCGATGGTGCCCATGAGTTCTGATTTCAGCCCTGGGAGGTGTAAGAAAGAATGGCAATCACAGACAGCCTCGAACTGGGTCTCGAGGACAGCGTCAGCCTGTCCTAAGCTCAACTTAGAATGCCTGGAGGCAAGAACTTGTCTTTCTGGCTTCATTCACCCATGAGTGTGCCATCTACTGTTACTCAGGACCTGAGGTGTGAGAACTGAATCCCTAGCCAATCCAGCAGTGAGGTGAGGAAACAGGCTGGGATTCACTGTCTCCACCCATGGCATTTGTTCTGAACAAATCCATCATGTGATCTGTCATCAGGTTCATCTTGATCAAGAGGCTCTAATGCCACTTCTGTTTCCAGTGACATGCTGCTCCCTTGAGATCCGGAGTCAGGACGCTGGGTGTCCTGGAACCCAGAAATGGTGAGTCTGTGGCACATACCTAACGAGGAGCACAGGCCTGATAGTTGTGTGGCTTTCTTGGTTACATTACACAAAGGCTGTAATTTACATCAGGGTTTAATGAAAAAACAAATTTGAGAAGCCAGTTTCCTTCAGGAGTGGGGCCCTTGGTTACCCAATGCTCCAGTGGATGCCCCCCCACCATGCACATATGGGGGTCAGTGGGTTATTAAAAAAAAAAAAAAGAGGAAAGACATGAATGGGCTGCAGTACTGTTCAATGGGAGTGGGAGGGGGAGGTGGCAGATGAAATCCATTGTAGACATCTATGGCATTTTCAAAGAATGAAAATGTTTCAAACTTAGAAAAACATATTGTTCATGTACTTCTCTCATCTATGAAAAACAAATCTCTAACTTCACAGAGAAGACACCAATGCTTGACCATGACTTTGGAACATGGACTCGGCTTTAGGCCCATCCCAGAGCACGTATTTGCACCATCCCAGCCTGGTAAACCCCTGGAGCCTCTCCTGCCTGTGCCATTCCCAGTCCTTAGACCTTGGTCACACAGCCTGTGTGCCAGCCTAGCCTGTGAGTGCCTGTCTTAGATAGGGTTTCTGCTGCTGGGATGAAACACCATGACCAAAAGCAACTTGAAGAAAGGGTTATTTCAGCTTACGTGGTCTAATCACAGTCCATCATAAGGGAAGTCAGGACAGGAACTTAGGGAAGGAGCCCGGAGCCAGGACTTAAGCAGAGGCCATGGATACAAAATCAACCTAAAACCAGTAAATGTGGGCTGGGCGTGGTGATGCAGGCCTTTAATCCTGGCACTCGGGAGGCAGAGGCAGGTGGATCTCTGTGAGTTCAACCTGGTCTACCAAGTGAGTCCAGGACATTCAGGGCTATTTTACAGAGAAATCCTGTCTCAAAAAAACAATAAACAGTAGGCGCTCTGCATACCAGCCATAGAAGCCGAGGAGATAATAGAAACACTTCCACTTACAATAGTGTATATAGATATACACATACATACACATATAAAGAGATGTGTGTGTGTATATATATGTATATGTGAGTATATATATGTACATATTAAAATATTGTAGATATAGAGAGTATTTTTAGATATATGTAATATATTATGAGATATATAATATGTGGAATATGTTATATATATTATAATTATAAATATAGTGTATATCAGTATATATTCAGAGTATTTCTAGATATTATATATAATTATATACTATTTACTTATATACTGTATATTATGTAATTATATATAATATATATTATATAATGTAAATGGGAGTGTTTCTGTTATCTCCTTGGTCTCTGAAGTTGGTATATATGTGTATGTGTATATATCAACTGTATATATGTATACATAAATATATATTATATAGCATATAATATATATAAATATGTTATATAATATATAATACCTATTATACATAAATATATAATGTATTATGTATTATATATAATATCTAGGAATAATCCTAACTAAGGATGTAAAAGTCTTCTATAATGAAATCATAAATTTAAAAAATCTTTCAAAGACATTGACGAAGATGCTAGAAGATGGAAAGACCTCCCTTGCTCATGGATTGATAGCATTAAAATTGTGAAAATGACTGTCCTACCAAAAGCAGTAGCTTCACCATAATCTCAGTCAAAAATCCCCACAGCATTCTTCACACAAATTAAAAAAAAATCCCAAATTCACATGGGACCACAAAATACCTAGATAGGCAAAACAATCCTGAACAAAGAGAACAATGCTGGAAGGCCGGGGATGCCAGATGACAAGCCGTATTACAGAGTGACGGTGCAGGCACAAACATAAACATTGAGGTCAGTAGAACAAAGAGGATCTAAGCCTAATTACATGGAACTACAGACATCTCATATTTTAAAAAAATGTCCACAGGACACACCGGAGAAAAGACAGCATCTTCAGTGGCTGGTGCTGGGAAACTGGATGTCTGCCTTTAGAAGAACAAATTTAGACCCGTATCTACCACCTGCATGGAAATCAACTCCAAATGGATCAGATGTCAGTGTGAAGCCTGAAACTGCTACAAGAAATGATAGGCAGTACCCTACAGAATATAGGTGTAGGAAGAGGCTTTTTTAATATTTCCCAGGAACTAAGGCCAATAATTGGCAAGGATTAATATTCATACTATCCAAAGCTCTCAAAACCAAAAATTTTCAAAAAGAAATAAAAATGACTGAGAATATCTCAAAAAGTGTTCGTTGTCCTTAGCAAATAGCGAAATGCAACTTAAAACTGCCTTGAGATTTTATCTCACTCCAGAACAAGAAAAAAACTGACAACAAATGGTGGCCAGGGTGCAGAAAATGGGGACGCTAACTCACCGAGTGGGGATGCCAGCTGCTGGAACCAGTGTGGAAGTAAGAGTGGTGAATTCTCAAAAAGTTAGAAAGACCTCCCCTGGGACCCCCTTACTCCACTCTTTGGTATACACCCTAAGGTTTTTATATTATTGACTGAAGCACAATGAGAATAAAAGTATCTCTTTGAAAATGTTGTTGGCTGTCTGTAAGTTTCTGCAGGATGAGGGCCTTCTTTTTCTCCTCACGCCTGTTAATCCTCTGTTCCTGTGTTGTGTACTTCTGCTTTCCTGTGGGCTATCCCCGTGTGTAGGAAGGAGGATATGGGATCCAGAAGCCTGACCATCCTCTCCCGCACGCCCTTTGGACGAATGCCCGACAGTCTGCTTCACTGGAAGCCTTCCCGCACATTAGCTTGCGCTTCCTCCATCATTATCAAGTGTTTGTCTGTCCTGGTGTATTTGACAAAGTCAGTGCTCTGTGTAGTCTCTCACTGCTGGAGCAAAGGATTTTTAAAGAATGCTTTAATTGCCCATGAGTATTTCCCATGCGAGCACAGCTGAAAGACTGGCTTGACTCCATATAAATAACCTTTGGGCTGCTTCCTTCCCCAGCGGCAGAACCCTTGTCAGGAAGCCTATTGATTTAGTCTCCCCTTCAGACCTCGCAAGCACGGCCAACACTTGGCCATTGCAGTGCCGCCTTACCATCTCCACCGTTCACGTTCAAGACCCATGCAGCTGCGCCACCCAAGAAACCTCAGTGCTGTTTGTCTCTCCTTTTCTGTGCTGCTGGGGATTGGAGACCACGGAAGTAGTTACCCGATCCCCTACGTCCTTCGCTTCTCTGAGACTCAGGGAGATTGGCATCACTGTGGTTCCTATCCTCCAGAGCTGGGGAGTGTAGCCTCCACTCCTTTCAAAAGGGACAGCTGAGGCCCTGCGAGCAATCGGGATGTCAGTAAGGTCAGCAGGAGGCGAGGCTAAGATCCAGTCAGGCTGCTAGAGCTCTGTATTCGCTCAGCTCTGTTCACTCACTGCGGCAAGTTGGATAAAAACTTGGTTATTGGCCTCAGCAGTGTGCTGGCTGGTTTTGTGCCAAGTGGACATAAACTAGAGTCATCAGAGAGGAAGGAGGCTCAGCTGAGGAAGCGCCTCCCTGAGATCCAGCTATAAGGCATTTTCTCAATTCGCCGTCAGTGGGGGAGGGCCCAGCCCATGGTGGTGCCGTCCCTGGGCTAGTGGTCCTGGGTTCTCTTAAGAAAGACTGAGCAAGCCATGGCGAGCAAGCCAGTAAGCAGCACCCCTCTGTGGCCTCTGCGTCAGCTCCTGCTCCAGGATCCTGCCCTGTTCGAGTTCCTGCCCTGACTTCCTTTGGTGACGAACAGTGATGTGGAAGTGTAAGCGGAACAAACCCTTTGCTTTTGGGGTCTGTTAAACTTGCTTTTTGGTCATGGTGTTTTGTCGCAGCAGTAGTAACTAAGACAAGGAGTAAGCAAACCACTGGAAGTTCTGTGCCAGGGACAAACTCTGATTAATCACCCTCTTCCCCCTGATCCCTGGGGATGAGGCCAGTGGAAGCACACAGTAAGTGCATAGAATACCAGACTCGTACCTGAGCTCTAGACTCATGTGTGTTCACCTCAGTGGAATAGTATCTCTCTTCAGGGTGATGTTAGTGATTTGGAATCATTTTCTAATTATATATTACACTGGCCCCGTGGAGAGCTCGTTCTTGTGTGTGCCATGACATTCCAAACTCACTCTTTATATGGTTGCTCTCCAGTTATAGAGAATAGAGAAGTCTGTCAATCATGTATACTTCTCAGAGGGATCTGGGATATGTATAGATATTGTTTATATCCATGACTAGAAGAAAAACCAACTTTCTACCATTTAGAGCTTTTAAAACATTTTCTATGTATGACCCTTATCTATCTAAGCTATTTTTATATAACCCCTATATATGTATGCAAGTGGCTCAAACATTTATACTAATGAGAAATAATAAAGAAGTTATCGTGAAACAACTCTTTGGTCTAATTTTAACATTAAAGCTGAAAGCAAGATTGCATAGTAAGATACAAAAGGGCTGTTTTTCTAACAATACAATTCAAATATTTACTGCTTTAATGAAGATCATGGAAAATGTTGTCTTTCCTATAATTAAGCCGTCATGTCTCTGTGAAACAGAAAATGTATTTACAATAAAAACACTGGCTGGAGAGATTGCTCAGAGGTTAAGAGCACTGACTGTTCTTCCAAAGGTCCTCAGTTCAATTCCCAGCAACCACATGGTGGCTCATAACCATCTATGATGTGATCTGGTGCCCTCTTCTGGCCTGTAGGCACATAGGCAGGCAGATTACTGTATGTATGTATGTATGTATGTATGTATGTATGTATGTATGTATGTATGTATGTATGTATAAATAAATGAATAAAATCTTTGGGACTGGAGAAATGGCTCAGAGGTTAAGAGCACTGGCTGCTCTTTCAGAGGTCCTGAGTTCAATTCCCAGCAACCAGATGGTGGCTCACAACCATCTATAGTGAAATCTGGCACTCTTTTCTGCCGTGCATGCAGGCAGAATACTGTAACATAATAAAGAAATCTTAAAAAAAAAAAAGATTTAAAAAAAAAAACACTGTAGTTTAAAAGATACATGTGAGCCATGGCATTTCAGGTCGTGTATGCTGGGGTTGTGGTGTGTGTGCTTTCACAACAGCTGTGTCACGCCACCCGTCGCCCCATGGGTGAGTGCTGCCAAGGATACCTGGGATTCATACACATTTGATTCAGAATTAATTTTTGGTTATCACATATTCAGGAAACTTTCAGTTTTGCAACCTCTGCATTGATTTGCATGATTCTGTGTGGATTCTACAGTTTAAGACTGGTGCCTCTTCTGCACCAGCTCTCAGAACCCAACTCACGGCCCTGCCTTCTCTACATGCACTGTGCCACAGTGGCGTGCTACCAGCCCCAACATTTGTCACTGTGTTGTTCATTCTTTACAGACGTAATGTCATTTTTATATGGTTACATGTATATATATCTGTGTGTCTGTTGTTTATAATAATACAAACCATGCTTATACATGTATTCCTCTGGACTTTGGTTTCTGTTGTAATTCCCTGGCAAACTTTCTAATCAGATTTTTTGAATCATAAGATTAACACATAGATAAGCCTTTTGTATTGTTTTTTTTTTTCTATCATAATTCAGAATCCAAAACAAGCTACATTTTTGATAAGACACTGTAAGACGGATACACGGAACAGTATATTGCCATTTTCTATTCCTAAGGCTGAGGACAAGTTGAATTGGAGGCAAATTTGTCATTCTAGGTGTTGGTGTCGTTCGAGGACGTGGCCGTGCGCTTCACCTGGCAGGAGTGGCAGGAGCTGAGCGCAGCCCAGAGGAGCCTGTACAGGGACGTGATGCTGGAGAACTACCGCAGCCTGCTGTCCTTAGGTGAGTCTGAGGCCTCGGTAAGTCTCGGGGCAACAGCTGTAGAACTGGCGCTTTACGTTTAATACTGATTTGATAGTGTACATTTTAATTGACACGGCACTGCTGCAAATTTATGAGGGGCAGTAGCTCTGTAATGTATGTGGTGTGTAGGGATCAGGTTGATGCTCCTGATAGTGGGCGGCTCTGGCATCTCTTGTTTGTACTGAAGCATTCACAATCTCTCTGATGCTCTTCTGAAGTCTTCAGTTGGTGCCATCCATATGTTTGCGATAGTACTATAGACCATATGTTACAGCACTTCCTCCCTTGCTAGTATACCCAGTTAATACTCACCTCTTTTCCATCTTCTCTCCCCCTGCATCTTTCCCTCACTCTAGGAGATATTGTTTTACTGTTTGAGACCACCTTTAGTTTGTAACTATAGTGAGAACGTGGAGGAAAGTTTTCATTTTGTGTTTGACACATTTCATCTATATAGTGTAAATCTCCTGGAGAGACATAGGAAAAATGTGTTTGTTCCAAGTATGGATGAAGTTTTATTGCGCAAAAAAAATTTCATTAATGCTTCATTAATAAACATATGAGTTTGTTGAATTTATTTAGTAAATGTGACTCTCAGATTTAAAAAAAAAAAACAACAGACAAACAAAATGAACCCTCATTTTTCCTTACGGTTTTACTGATCTACAGTTGGTTGGACTCTCAGCTGAGAAATTCATGATAGTCTCGTAAGGGAATGGACCAAGCCTGTTACCATCCAAAGATCTAGAGATCCACTACATAGTTTCCTTTATTTCATCACCATGACTGTGCCAAGGTTATCCTGTGTTATAAGATGGCGCTGATCACGCCTGGAACAGACACAGTAGAGCTTAATGGTGCCCTGTATGCCTGTCACTGTGACAGAATAGTCTGTTATTTTAAATTAATATTTGCCATGTTTCTCCAACTATATCCCTTTATTAAAGAATGCTTGTATGCAGCTTTCCCTGAAAAATCCTGATGTCAATTCCTTTGACTGTGGACAGCCAGCAGTGGGCAGTGTTAATGGAGTTCTAGTTCTAGTTCTACCATACTGTCTAGTACTATCATACTATTGTTTTGTAGTGATTGCACTAGTATATATTCTAACATCTCTTCATGTAAGTTTTTATTATTTTTATTTTATATTAGCTATTGTTCAGTGATAAGTCATTTTTGGAAAATTTCTTTTGTTTTTACTTGTAAACATGTCTGTAGATCATGTTTGAGAAATATCAGTTCAGGCTACTTGCCCAGATTTAATGAGAACTTTTTCTTTTCTGTGTTTAGATGAATGAGGTCCTTATATAGTCTAGAAGTTAATCTCCTGCTGACTAAATACTTTGCCAGTGTTTTCTCATTCTAGACATACTGTAGTCATAATATTTAGTCTGATGTAATCTCATTTAGTCTGAATGTAATCTCATTCTGTTGGCTGGATGGATATATATTAGAAGACTCCATCTGTTTTATTATCTGAGTTTTAGAGTTTCAGCTCGTATATTTAATTCTATGATCCATTTTTAGCTGATTTCTCTATGCTGTATGAAGGGAGCCAGTCCCATTCCATAACATATAAGGAGCCAGGTTTCACAGCATGATTTATCCATGAGAATGTCCCTCCTGGATGTGAAGGCCGGAGCCTTTGTGGAGAGGCAGGTGACTTGTGCTTGTCAGCTTCCCGGCACTCTGCCAGCATGTGTGAGGTAAACATCTCAAAAGGAGGAAGGACGGGTTTTAGCTCTGCGGGTTCAGATGTTTCTTCCGGTGTTGTTTTGACCTTCTCTCCGGGGTCCTCTGTTGAGGAAGAACCTCCAGCTGGGAGCACATTGCAGAGCAAAGCGTCTCGCCTCATTTTTGTATTTCATGCTTGTTCATTTCTATACGGAAGTACTGTGTCTCTGGTGTGAGTCACACATGAGCATATTTTATAATAATCATGTCCTTTCTGCTCCATCTTCTACTGTGTAGAGTTTCTTTACATCTGTATTTGTTGGGGATATTGGCTCTATAGTTAGGATTTTGTGTCCATGTCTGGATTTGAAATCATTGTGATGGCTGCTATGTTAAAGTGACAGGTCAGAACTTGGCTGTTCCTGTAACAGGTGTTCATTTATAAGAGACTTTAGACTTTCTTCTTTGAGTTTTTAGAATTCCCTTTGTCTCAGAATTTTGACAGCTTGGATGTAATGTGATATAAGATGACTTGTTGGTTCAAATCAATTAGGGTGCCATTGGATCTGTCTCCTGTATGTTCTTTCACAGAATCTATGTTTTTAATGTACATTCTTTCTTCTTCTAGAACACGAATAATACAAATGTTTGTTTTCTTAAAAGAATTATATTTCCATATATATATACACACACATGTATGTATATATATATGTATTTCCATATATATATACACATATATATGTATGTATATATATACACACATGTATTTATATATTCCATACACACACACACACACACACACATATACATATATATATATATGTTTTTAGTTTCTTGAGACAGGGTTTCTCTTTGTAGCCCTGGCTGTCCGGGACTTGCTTTGTAGGCCAGGCTGGCCTTGAACTCACATAGATCTACTTGCCTCTGCCTCCCTAAGTGCTGGGATTACAGGCATGTGCCACCATGCCTGGTTTTTGTATATACTTTCTAATTTTAAAATTTTGTGTGTGTATGGGTGTTTTGCTTTCTTATATGTTTATGCGGCACTTGTATGACTGATACCCTTGGAAGTCAGGAGAGGGCGTTAGACCCTTTTTAACTGGATTTACAGGTTGTGAGCCACCATGTGGATGCTGGGAATGGAACCCAAAGCCTGTGGAAGAGCAGCCTGGTCTCGTGATTACTGAGTGTCTCCTTGGACCAGTGGTCCTCAACCTTTTAATGCTGTGACCCTTTAATGCAGTTCCTCATGTTGTGGCGACCCCAACAGAAAATCATTGCTGTTGCTACTTCCTAACTGTAATTTTGCTGTTAGGAATCATAATACAAACATTCGTGTTTTCTTGTGGTCTTAGGTGACCCCCTTTAAAAGGGTCATTCAACCTCCAAAGGGGGTCACAACCCCTAGGTTGAGATACTACTCTAGATCCGCCCCCCCCCCCCCCCCCCAGTTCTTTAATCTGCCTTGGTTTATTTTAAAGTAGCAAGTCTTTGTTTTGGTGTTTTCTCTCTGCTTGATCATTTCAGCTTGAAGTCTTTTTGTGTTTTACTTTTTTTTTTTATCAGTTGAGCTCTTCCCTTACAAATCTTCTAGGTGGTTCTTTTATATGACTGCTTTCTCTTGTTCAGTTTGTCTTAAAAAGCATACAAACTGTCTATCCAGTTTCATTGCGTCACCTTCATTGCTTGCTTGAATTTTCCCTTTCTTTTTGTTTGTTTGTTTGTGTGTCTAAGTATATGGAGTATGATCGTAAGTGTGCTTGGGTGCCATGGATGCCAGAGAAGGAAACCAGGCGTTCTTTTCTTCTGCTCTCTGCTGGGGTCACCCGAGACAGCATCTCTCAGTGACCCTGGAGCTCAGCTGCTAGCCATTCCCAGGAATACAAGTGTACCCACCCTCTAGCACTGGGTTTACATGCAGGTATATGTGTAGCTATGCCAGCCTGTTAAGTGGATTCTGGGGATTTGATATCTGGTCCTCATACTTGCATAACAAGCACTTTTACCCACTGTGCCACTAACCAGTTTCCCTTTTGAAGTTTCTTAAAATTATGAGTTAAATACCACTTGGGGACAACATTCCAATAAATGTGAGTAAAAACCTACTTTAATAAAAGTTTTGTCCGAGAGTGGTGGTGCATACCTGTGAACCTAGCATTCGAGGAGGCAGAGGCAGGCGGATCTCTGTGAGTTTGAGGCCAGCCTGGTCTATAAAGCGAGTCCAGGACAGCCAAGGCTACAGAGAAAACCTGTCTCTTTAAAGATAAACAGTTAGTAACATGTACAAGTCCATATGTTTATTATAAAAAAAAAAAATTGGAAGAAAGGAAAGAAGACAGTTTCTAAGTCATTAATCATTGCACAGCTCCCAGGAGGTAGCTGCTGTCTTCCATCAGTAGACTTGATGAGCGCTTTGGCACAATCTGTACATTATTTCTCATTTACAGGGCACTGTGTGACCAAACCTGAATTGATCTTCAACTTAGAACATGGACTTGGGCCATGGAGCGCAGCAGGTGCCTCGGTCTGGACCCTCTCAGGTCAGTGGATAACGCTACAAGGCAAGAGACGGCAGTGACAGAGAGACGCTCAGATATTGGTCATACTGGGCTCTTTCAACAAGTTTCATCTAAACTCAGTCTTGAAGACAGTTCATCTCATGGACCAGACAACCTAAGGTTTTCCCAAAGTTCTTCATGTTAAACCGCTGGCTTCTTGATGATGAAGACTGTTTTTCTTTGGGAATAATTTGATTCCTTTACCTCAACAGGGCTTCTTCCCTTCTTTAAATGTCTATATGTTAAAATTTAGGCATTTATTGACATTATTTCAACATGGCTTTTTGGCTATTGGTTGGTTTTGCAATTATTATGAAACATCTCTTAAAATACTTTCACTTAGCGTGACAAAAGTAAAGTGAAGGAACGATGTATTCCGGTGCGAGGAGCTGAACAGAGAATGTTAATCAGGAGCAGAGGGACAAACATGGGTCTTTACTCTAGACCAGCAAGCTTGCCATTAAAAAACTGTTCTTTTATCTATTACTTTGAGATGACTCTTTTCCAAATTTGCCACAAAATACACACGTGGATTTAAATTTTAGATTAGGTAAGGAACGTGATTAAAGGTGAGTAGCCAAACAAGAGTTCAGTTTGGTTGTGCTTGGGGCATCTGTGGAATCTTTAAGGAAAATAAGAAAAGACATCAGATGTTTCAAGGGTGAATGGCAGAGGAGCAGTTCTGTCCGTGCGATGTGCATTTGAAGTCAGAGTTACAAAGGTGAGCATATAGTGTTCAGAGAAAAAGCACTGAGCAATCGATCAAACCCCAGGAATACTCAGATGAGCAGATGGAGTAAAGTGCCTAGGAAGAGAACTTGTCAGTACTGTGCTTGCCTACAAAGGGTGTAGGTGCAGGACAAGAATAAAAGCCTGGGGAGGTGGTCCAGGCTTGTACACTCGGGCATCGCAGGTGAACACAGGCGGATCTCCAGGGCCCCGTGGCCAGTCAGTCTCATAAGTTGGTGAGCGTTGGGTCGAATTGTGTCCAACAAGGTAGATAATACCCGAGGTATACCCTCTAAGCTCGTGTTTGTGTACACATGCTCACACACATACAGACACACCCTCATATACACACTACATGTGCCCAGTGAGCCCACAGGTACAAGGTCATTTTAATTCTTGTATGGAAAATTCAGCATCTTAGGTGAGAAATTCAGCCAAGAGATTCTGAAAAAAGATACAATCTCAGATCTCGGGAGAGAAAAGCTAAAATTAAAAAACAAAGACAGCACTAGTTCCAGGACAGCCAAGGATGCACAAAGAAACCCTGTGTCAGGAAAACAAACCAAACCAAAACAAAAACCCAAGAAACCGAGAAAACAAAAACAACACGGGGGTGGGGGGAAGAAAGCACTTTTGGGAAGGTAGACTCTGGAAGAAAGAATACAGCCATGGGTTTGAAGACAACATTGGGCAATTGTGACAGTTAGATAGAAATGAAGCAAAAATACACAACAAGTAAAGATACAACGTTGGAGACTGCTTGGACGGTTTCAGGAAATCTCCAGTTTGTGAATCTTGTGTTAAGCTGTGAACTGAGAGTAAGGTCAGAGACGGAGAACATAGTCTATGAAATTAGTGTAGAATAGTGTACAAGTCCTGGCCAGGGGACAGATGGCTAAATATGTGGCGTTTACAGCCACAAGTTGACAGGAGCTGAGAATACTTCCTCAAAGGTCACTATAGTGAAGAGGGCTGCAGAGAGGGCTCATCAGTTCAGAGCCCTGGCTGTTCTTCCAGAGGTCCTCAGTTCACTTCCCAGCAACTACGCAATGGCTCACAACCATCTAAAATGGAATCTGCTGCCCTCATCTGTCAGGTAGGCATACATGCAAGTAGAGCATTCATACACATAAGTAAATCTTCAAATAAATTTTAAAAAGACTGAAGGACAGAATGTGGGCAGAATATTGAAAACTATGAGCAAAAAGTGTAGTTACTTTGTTTCTCTTTTGGTTTGGGTTTTGAGACAGGGTCTCACTGAATAGCTCTGGCTGACCTGGAACTCATCATATACCTTCGGCTGGCCTCGAACTCACAGAGATCCACCTGCCCCTACTTCCAGTGCTGGCACTAAATTCATGTCTCAGCACACCCAGGTAGTTACTTTTGAATATAAGCCTATCATAGCTGCCCTGTTAACAGAAACTCTGAATTCCAGGAAGTATACTCTGTAAATGAAGATTAATTTATGTAGCAAAGTCAAAATCAGAGAACATTATGAATTTTTGTAATAAGCACTGTCTTAGTTAGGGTTTCTGTTGCTATGAAAAGACACCGTGACCATAGCAACATTATAAAGGAAAACATTTAATTGGGGCTGGCTTACAGTTTAGAGGTTTAGTCCTTATGTCGTGATGGCGAGAAGCATGATGGCATGCAGGCAGACGTGGTGCTGAAGAAGGAGTTGAGGGTCCTACATCTTGATCCTCAGGCAGCAGAAGTGAAACTGTGCCACACCGGGTTTAGCTGGAGCACATGAGACGAGCCCGCCTCACGGTGACACAGCTCCAACAAGTCACACCTATTCCAACAACGCTGCATCTCCTAGAGGTACCACTCTCTGTGGGCCAAGCTTTAATTACATGAGTGTGTGAGGGCCATTCCTGTTCAAACCACCATAAACATAAGTGCAATCACTCCATGAATACTAAACCCCTATTACAGAAGATATTTAAAACAAACAGCGCAATTAAACTTTTTTTTTTTTATAAAGCAAGCCACAGGCAACATTTCTCATTAAAAAAAAAAAAATCATTCCCACAACACCCCGAGAGGACCGTGCTGCTCTTTCTCGGAGCAGCACACGCTAACTGAAACAAAGCTGGGCAGCAGTCAATGCCCTAGTCTGTGATGTGCTGGCAGAGAGTATGTGAAAACACCTAAGTCCTACAGTAGCTGGTCGGAATTTCCCCAACTCGTATGTGAAAGAGGCAAGACATAGACATCAGATAACAAAGCATTAGGACAGGTAGAAGAGTGAAAGGGAAACACGGCTCTAAAGAGACCTGCAGCTGAGAAATGGGTGAGTGCTTTACTGCCTCCTGTTTTAACATCACAGCAACGTAGCAGAGAACGAGGACTTAGCGATGCAGAGTCTGTTAGTGTTCTGTGTCATTTTAATTCATTAATGACTAGGCTGTATACGCTTATAAGATGCTATCTTAGAAGTTCAAGTGAGGTTTTAAGAAGGCACTATTTTACTTCTGTGTTTGAATCACATGAAGCTTGTCCCAATTCATGGAAATGGAAATTTTAAATATTTTCAGGTGTCAACAAAGTGAGTGGCCTGGTTGAAACCATCCAGGAAAATGAAGGCAAACACTTCTGGCAAATTAAAATCAACAGCAATGCATCAAATGAAGAACTGGTTGAAGTAGGTAAAATTGTTGTGAGCACAGACTGTGACCATATGTAGGGGTCTTGACTGGGTTCATTTTCTCTGCCAGTAAAACAAATGAAAAGGCAGGAAACATTGTGAGTATAACAATTAGCATCAAAGGAAATATCAGAAAAAGCAGACAAATCAGCCAGAGAAGAAAGGCTCTTGTTAGGGTAAGGAAGCATACACAACAAGGCACACAGAGACAAACTTCTGCAGAGCTGAGGGGCCCTCAGGAGTTGAAATCCAGCTTCTCATTTTGGGCTTAGGTGTGTCCAGGGTATTTGAGGGATCTTCCTCCCCTAATTTAGGGTTAGTCGGATTGAACAAAGGGAGAGTGGCTAATAGACCCAAAGCTTTGGTGTAAACATGTACTGATCCATCCCTGAACTTGTTGAAGATCTATCACCAAAGTGTCTTACTGGCAGGAGAAAAAGGCCACTAGGCCTTTAAGCTGACAGGCTTCTGTGTCAGGTCAAGAGAGTAAGGAGGAAGCGGCCACCTTACAAGTTCACCATTGTTATTACCTCGTTCCAGCCCTTCTCCCTATCTGCCCATCTGCCTGGGATTTGTTTAATTCTAAGCCCCTCAAAACCATATTTCAAATTTGAGCATAAAGAGTGAAAACTATTTTAGGAATGTTTTCTCAGGAATTTAATCTATGGCAGGATGAAATTCTCATTAGTGAACCTGGTGAGATGTAGGCTACAGAAGAATTTGATAATTTTAAAGTAATTGAAACCCTTCAGTTACCCTGAGCTTCTGGTCCATTAATCATGTTCTTCTGAATATTTTGAATCAGGGAAAACCTACAAAGGCAGGGCTATTAGCATAGAAGTTTTCATTTATGGAGGAGCTCTAATAAACTCAATAAACATAGGAAATCCTTAATGAAGCATCATTAATTCAGGTCATGGCACAGATTGGGAAGTAAAGTTTCTATCAGAGTATATGTGAGATAACTTTCGTTGACTAAATTGAGTAAATAAAGTAAAATAGACATTGGAGAGAAATATTTCAATGTAGTGATTATGAGAAATCTCATTAGGAAAGACAGGCAAAAACCTCATATAGTAAACTTTATAGGACAATCCCTGGGAATATGAAGAATGTAACAATTTCTTCTGTCTTAAGGCAGAACTAAAGATTCCTGAGGAAATCCACCGAGGGACAAAATCCTATGAATGTGAAGTCTGTTTGGAAGCATTTTACCTGGAGTCACCATATAGCACAAGTCAGAGATACCACACTTGTGAGAATCCGTATGAATGTAAGGAATGTAGAGAAGCTTTCTATCCCAAGTCTACCTTCAGCCCCTGTCAGAGGCTGGAGAGAGGGGAGAAACCCCATGCGTGTGTCGAATGTGGGAAAACCTTCTACTGCAAGTCCCACCTCACCGTGCATCAGAGGACTCACACAGGCGAGAAGCCCTACGAGTGCGTGCAGTGCACGAAAGCTTTCTACAGCAAGTCGCAACTCAACGTCCATCTGAGGATCCATACAGGCGAGAAGCCTTATGAGTGTAAAGAATGCAGGAAGGCCTTCTACCGGAATTCTGACCTCACTGTGCATCAGAGGACTCACACAGGCGAGAAGCCCTATGAGTGTAAAGTATGCAGTAAAGCTTTCTACTGCAACTCACAGCTCACTGTGCACCACAGGACTCACACAGGCGAGAAGCCCTACGAGTGTCAGGTATGCAGGAAGGCCTTCTACTGCAAGTCACAACTCGCTGTGCACCACAGGACTCACACAGGCGAGAAGCCCTATCAATGTAAAGAATGTAGGAAGGCCTTCCAGTGCAGGTCTGACCTCACGCGCCATCAGAGAACTCACACTGGTGAGAGGCCGTATGAATGTACTGAGTGCAGGAAGGCCTTCTACCGCAAGTCAGACCTCACTGTGCACCAGAGGACTCACACAGGCGAGAAGCCCTACGAGTGTAAAGAATGCAGGAAAGCTTTCTACTGCAACTCACAGCTCACAGTGCATCAAAGACAGCACACGGGGGAGAAGCCTTACGAATGTAAAGACTGTGGGAAAGCCTTTCAGTGCAAGTATGAACTCACTCGCCATCAGAGAACACACACAGGTGAGAAACCTTACGTGTGTATAGAATGCAAAAAAGGCTTCTACACCAAGTCAGATCTCACTCGCCATCTAAAAACTCATGCAGGTGACAAACCCTGAATCTATAGCGTACAGCAAAGCTTCACACAATAAGTCAGTTCTGGTGTGGCATCAGAGAATGCGTGTAAGTACTTTTTACCATAAATTGAAACTTATTGTCAGAGAATTCATACACATGCAAGAAACCATGAGTGTAAGAGAGCGCTCTACTTCAGCTCATCTCCGTGTGCAGACCGATAAATTTAGGGAATGTAAGAAGACTTCGTATGGTCAGATCTCATTTAACATCATGTAGATGTAGGTGAATTACCCTTTGAATATAAAGAATACTAGCACATTTTGTTTTTAAACCATAAAGTGCATTCACTGGGCAGGAAAGCTCATATATATAACACAGAAAACTTTGAAACCTAAGTCAGGCCTCAGTCTACCTTAAAAAGAAAAATCACAAATGTATGGTTGTGTACCTCAGATGATTTAGCCAGGTACTGCTTTTCATCCTGACGCATCTGGGTGATCTTGGAAAAGCTTCACTTGGACCTGCTGTTTAACAGCATAGGAAGACACCAGATCAAAAGACTGGGGAAAGTTAGGCACGGTGGCGCACACCTTTACCGCCAGCGCTCAGGAGGCAGCATCGTGTGGAGCCGTGTAAGTCTGAGGCTAACCTGTTCAACAGAGTATGTTCTGGGCCAGCTAGGGACCACAGTGAAATCTGTCACAGAAACAGTGAGAAAATCTTCAGTGGCCGTAAAACCCACATGGTTTTTAAATCATAAAGTAAAGAATATCAGAAACTTTAAAAATAGTTCTTGAAACTCAACTGAAATCAGAAACACAACAAAAGGATAATAAAGCAGAAGAGTGGAATCCGGGAGTGTAGGGGCCACCTTTCATCATCGGTATAATGATTTCAGGATTCACCCATCTACACACATACTATAACCCCATCAGGCTACAGATTCTAGAGGCTCCACTCGCGTTAGCAGTCACGACATCAGTTGTGAAGGTGAGAACATGTTTGGGTTTTAAAAATGAGATGAGCTAGGGTGTGACTGTCCCGTGCTTGTGAAGCAGACGCATTTCCTCTCCCCTTGTATTTCAGAGTTTGTATGTATCACCTACGTGTTTGGCATTCATGCTCATGAATCAGTCTTGAGAAAGTATCAACAGTGGTGAAGAAGTTGCAGAAAGTTGATCATGCCTTTTTGAGCACTCTCAGTGAAATCATATCTTTTTTTTTTTTTTAGTGAGACAAGGTCTAGATCTACAGGCCAGGCTGACTTTGAATTCTTTGTTTTGTAGGCGGTTCTCATTTTTATGGTCACACTGCTTCATGCTCTTGAGAGAATTAGAGTAATGGTCTTCCATGCAACCATGTATTTCTTAAATGTGTAACATTTTTCGCATTTTTAAATTTTCAAAAATTTCAACATTTTTATACATCATAAATTTTGGGGAGAAAAATTCTGTTTATGTAACTTGCATGTCAATTTCCAGATGGAATTGTTTGGCATGCCACTGGAAATTAAGCATTCAACTGTATACCACTAAATAAACACAATGATGTTTCCAGCCGGCCTACGTAAGCTTTTTCCTTGGGCACTTACTGTTCTCCTGACTAGTTTGGTAGCCGTTAGCAAATGTAGTAGACAGAGATCAGCAAAGCTGATAAACATCTATCAGTGCACGCTTACTTCTCACAATGTGTATTTTTTTTCTTTATGTTAGTATTTTGTGTTAAAATTTTGTATGCAGAACACTCAGCATGACAGTATATGTATCATTTGTATAAGAAACGATAATGGGAGAAAATGGAAGTGGTAGGATACATTCCTTTGTAGGTATGTAGTCTTGATTGGAATCTTCACTATACATAAGTGAGACAGACAGACAGATATTGTGTCTTATTCTATTCATTATCCTTCTATCACTCTAACTAGCAAACAGAAACAAATTAAGGATTGAGGTAATTATTTTGGATTGTGGTTTCAAAGGATTTTGTTACTTTTCCCCAGACCAATATGAACAACATTACGGTGACAGGTGATTGTAAAAGAAGACTTTGCGATATCATACTAAGAAGTGGACCAAAGAACCGACTATGTACCTATTACATCTTCCAAAACATGACCCTAATTACATAATTCAACTAGACTCCACCTCCTAAAGTTTGTGCCACCTCCAAAAACAATGCTCAAATTTAATTCATGTTCTGTAGGAAAAATTTTATGTTAAAACCAAAATACACGCTGGGCAGTGGTGGGTCATGCTTTGAATCCCAGCACTTGGGAAGAAGAGACAGATGGGTCTTTTTTATTTCGAGGCCAGCCTGGTCTATATATTGATTCTTCCTCCTCTCCTAAATCCACATCCTTTCCTGCTCTCTCATTAGAAAACAATCATCTTTTTAAAAGAAAAAAAAAGAGCTGGGCAGTGGTGGTCCCAGCACTTGGGAGGCAGATGCAGGTGGATCTCTGAGTTTGAGGTCAGCCTGGTTTACAGAGTGAGTTCCAGGGCAGCCAGGGCTACACAGGGAAACCCTGTCAAAAAAGGGGGGATAAAAAGTTAAAATAAAATCACACAAACCTGAATAGGACAACAAATGAGCAGAAAAAACAAAGAGCCCCCAAAAAAGAGCACATATAGATGTACATACCCACACACAGACACACACACACCCACACACCCACACACATAGACACACACTGACCCTGCAGAAACCCCCTAAAAACAAAAATACAAAACCCATAATATACAAGCAACAGACCTATAGGGTGAGAGGGCTGTGGGGGGATGGAGCATTTTAATATAGAAATGTGAAAATAAGGGACACGATTGTTTCCAGCTGCCGACTAAGTTAAAGTTCTTGACATCAGCAGTTTTCGTTTCATCCTTCTGAACGGAGGCCTGTTCTGCAGTCCTCTCCCTTTACAAGTCCTTTATCTTGTAAAGATCAACACAGGCTTACCCAGTGTACAGTCTGAAGACTATACATTTTCTTTCCTAGTATGGCCCTCTCGGGACATGCCTTGAGCAAAAGTGGTTAAATGTCATAGGTTGATGTAAAAGCTTAAAAATGGTCAATTCTGGCCCTGAGTGACATTACATGGCACGCGCATGTGCGTGTGTGTGACATGGTCCCTAATGTCATTAGGTGTGATCATTTATGGAAATGTGTTGGATATCGAATGTCACATAGGAAACTGCGGCAGTGGTTATGACCACTGTGGTTTTTAAAATCACTCGTTTCTGGGGGCAGCAGTGTCTCGGGGTGTTCATCTATGAGGAAAAATGCCCTCCTTTTAGGCCGTCCTAACTTGGCTTTGTCGCCTATGTCTGTATTAGGGGATTTATCTTAATTTAATCTTAGTCTATATCATACCACTGTTTTCTCTATTGCCTTTCAGGACTGTGTGAGTATGTGTGTTGATGTAAAGGTCTGATTCCTTAACAAGTGTGAGAATAGTTCCAAAAAGAAAGGCACAGCAGAGATTACCAGTTGGAACATCTTTGTGTATATATGTCAGCGGTTGAATAGTGCTCCCTCACGTGAAATGTCTGACGTGTCAAGGAAGACAGTGGGGGTTGAAGGTCTAGTAACCTCCTGTGTTAGTTACTTTTCTGTTGCTGTTATGAAATGCCATGACCAAGGCAATTTAGAGAATAAATTGTTTATTTTGGCTTATAGTTACAAAGACCTAGAGTCTGTTATGTCAGGATGGAGACAGCCATCATCACAGCTGGCATGGGATGCTGAACTATCACATCTTCTACTGTAGGTATGAAGCAGGGAGAAAACTGGAAATGCTGAGACTCTTTAAACTTTCAAACCTGCCTCCATTGATAGGCTTCAACTATGCCATATTTCCTACCCTATTCCCCAACCAGCTCCAGTAACTGGGGACAAAGTGTTGAAATACATGAGCCTTTGGAGGACATTGTCATTCAAACCACTACACCTCCATTGCATAAATTTTACTGCTTGAGGACACACAGCAAGTGCATTATCAGGGAGGGGAACTCCAACCCACCCACAAAAACTTTGACCCCAAATTTACCCTGCCTACAAGACGTGCAGGGATAAAGATGGAGCAGATAGAGGAGATTGAGGGAATGCCAATCAATGCCTGGTCCAACCCAAGACCTACCTTACCGGAGAGAGCCAGCCCCTGACACTATGAACGATACTCTGCTAAGCTTGAAGACAGGAGCCCAACAGAGTTGTCCTCTGAGAGGCTCTACCCAGAAGTACCTCAAAACAGATGCTGAAATTCACAATTGCACTTGGAAATGCATCAGGGTGGCAGAGCAGGCAGTAGGCAAACACTGGGTATATATTAAAAATATTCTTGCTAAATAAAGTTTATGTTGAAAATTACTGTAGACAATTAATGGTAAATCTTAAATATAACACCTGTAAGGTAAGGAAAACAAAAACCCCTCCAAAATTATCATGGAGTTTGTTTTATGATGCTCATCTACAGAACTGAAGCAGTAACTCCTGGCACAACACCAAGCAAGAGACAATTAATCACACGCAGAGACAAAGTAAAACCCAAAACCTGGCTTTTCCCGGACTTCTCTGCCACAGAAGTTCCAGAAAGGCTAAAATTGATCCCCACTCCAACTTCCCTGCCACAGAAGTTCTGGAGGGGTTAAAACTGACTCCACTCCAGCTTCCCTGCTACAGAAGTTCTGGAGGGGTAAACTGATTACTGATGAGAGGTGAGGTCACCTGAGGCAAGGTGACCTTTTACATAATCACAATTGCCATTCTTCTAAACCACATCTGGAACATTGGGGAGAATTTTCCCAACCGATTCTCATTGATTATTGCCAGGGAGATTGTCTCTGTTTTCTACCAAGTATTTATTCTGTGATGTTTCCTGGAGGCTGTTGCTAGGAGAGTTAACTTTGTTTTCTGCCAATGCATATTCTGTGATATTTCCTGGTACCTGAGTTCAGCTCCAGGTCAAGAAGGCTCCTCATTTCAAAATGGAGTCACCCAGGCTAACTTAAACTCTTTACCAGAGGTTATGAAGCCACAGGATTCTGGAGGCAGTTCCAACAAACCAGCTGTGCAGTGAGAGCCCCAGGCCCATCCCCTAGAGACCCATTCCCCGCCCCCAAAACATTGGCTGTCATAAAACAACAACAACAAAACCCTGACTGACTCGAAGGTACAGAAGCTGGTTAGCATAACCAGACCTTAAGCTTTTGAGGCTAAGAACTCACTGCTGAAAAACTGTGGTTTTCAATGCCAAGGAGCAATGTTTCTAGCCTTCAAAGTTGGTGGCACAAAGGAAGGTCCACCTTGGGTATTCATAATCTATCCAAGTAGGAGAAAGAAAGCAACCCTCAGCCAGTTGCTTTCATTAGCACTATAGGCTGTGGTCCAATCCACTGACAATCAACTTCCCTCATTTTTTCTTACATTGCACCTTGATTCACGCCATACGCCATGTTGGCTTTATCCCATCAGGGTTCCCTCTCTGGGTTGAAATAAAATCGTTTATTCTCTGTATGTTTTCACTGAGTCTCACTCTTCCGCTTCTCTGACTCCCTAGGGGTCTGTGTGTCGGGAGAGGACGTGTCATCCGAGGGAAAAGAACCAGGCGTTGGAAGCTCTCCGATGCCTCACACATGATTTCCCTGTCCATGACTGACTGATCCTCAGAACTCCTCAGCCCGTTCTACTATTCTCTATAGTGTGAGGAAGACACAAATGCTTTATTTGAGCAAGGATGGGGCTAGAACAGTGGCTCAGCAGTTAAAAGAGTCCTGGCTGTCTTTCAAAGGACACACGTGGGCATGCACACACACACACACACACACACATTTTAAAATGAAGTGAGATGTTCTCATATGTCTTTTCTCCATAGTAACCTGCAATAGGTTTGGCAATAAAAATTGCCTTAGTCACCCAGAAGTGCCCAGGAAGATGAGGGACACTGGTGGTAGGTATAGTCTGGGAGGCACTGTCCCTAACCCTCCCTGGGACCTTAGGCCAGAATTTCTGACTAAGGAATAAATTTACTTATCTGTGCATACTTTTTTTTTTGGCAAATTAAATTCATATATTTCCTCCAAACTCATAGGTTTCTCTGCGACAGAAAACCTTTGCCCAAACACTTTCCAGTTGAAGATCACAGGGACGCTGACTGACACTGATTTTTCTTGTGCTGTTGCCTGTGCTGCCTCCTTTAGAAATGGAAACCCAGGCAGCTCCTATAGTCCAGGCTCATCACCTTTCAAGTAGATTCTTCACTTCCCCCTCTGAGCAGAAAGGCTCCCCTAAATTTCAGATCCTGGGACAGGGAGGCTTACTGAGCAGGCGCACAGTGGTTATTGCAATGTGGAGGGGAGTTGCTGAGGTGAGCCTGGATGAGGCGAAATGGTTGAGTCTCCTTGCTTGCAGCCTTGGAAGAGCTGACGGTAAGACCAGTGCCAGCTAGATGGAACCAACCACAAGGGCGGCAGTGAGGAAGATGAGGCCGGGCTGAACCCTTTTGTCCTGGTTTTAGCTCACTCCGTCTTGTGTGCTCCATCCGACAGACAGCTCCCCAGCCGGG